TTTCGATATGGATTATCAATGATTCTCATAAATAAATAAATAAACAATATGTTCTTTCTTTCATTTTTCTTATTTGCTTTTATTTATTTTTTTTTTCTTTTTTTTCTTTTATTCTTTATTATGATTATGTTAAGTAAATTATACTAAGGAAATGAACTCTTTAAGTATATAAATAAATAAATAAATAAAATAATCTTCCTTTTCTTTTTCTTATTTTTTTTTGTTTTCTTTTAATATAATTATGTTAAATATATTATATGCTCTAAATTTCTTTAAGTGTAATCTCGCACAAAACGAGTGAAAAGTATTCTTACTCGAGGCGATAGTTAAGATACTATCACTCGAAACATAAGAGTGAATGTTTCACTATGATTAAAACAGATTCTGACTCTATACTATAAGCAAATATCTCAATCAATTGGAGTGAATATGTTTCTTTGATGATGGAATACATCAGATTCATTCTCCAATATCGAGTGAAAATATTTATATAACGATTCAGAGAGAAAAATTCAATAGAAAAATTCTATAGAAGTGAAAAATAACTCGAATTCGAGTGACTCGGCTATCACTTTACTTTTTGATTGAAATTTCACTCCATGAAATTTAGAGATTACCAAAAGGATGATTGTCGTAAATAAATAATTTTTGTCTTGTTTTCTCTTATTTCGTCTTTTTTCTTCTTTTCTTGTTTATTATGATTATATTACATGTATTATGATTATGATACATGTATGTATTATATATCAAAAAGATGACTACAATAAGTAAATCAATAAATAATTTAGGATATCGCCGTGTATTTTAGCAAGTATAACCAAGTGGCTTTCAGAAAATCTCCGTATCGACATATTGGAAAATTGTCTGAAAAATAGTAGTCATAATAGTTATATAAATAATAGTCATATGCGAGATATTGCAGTGGGACCGGAAATGTTAAGAAAAATCCGCCGGAATCACGTGCACGATTCGCGTCGAAGCGGAACGGATACATTCGGGTTTCATTCAGTTTCATGTCGACTGACTTTCATGGGCCCCTTCGGGCCCGATACGGCCGCACTCGGCGCGCCTCGAGCATCTTTTCACAATGTTGAAACAGATATAACGGTGTCTCGACGGGCTGTACATACACGGTGTCCCAGAATCACAGCGCGCTCTCCGAGGTGCGAGTTTCCCCGAGGAGTTTCGAGGAGAGTCATCTCTTCTCATCTTTTAAACGTGAGAACCTTCGCGCGCTCGTTGTTCCCCTCGCGCGAGAGTTCCTCGTTTTCAATCCCGAGAGTTAAACACTTGTATCGAGTCTTCGTTAACAACTCGAAACGAGTAGCGGCTCATTGTCCACGATGACGTGGTCGGGTCCTTCCTCGAGGAAATTCCACTCGCTGAATTGGACTCCACGATTTTCAACGGCGGTCGTCGATATTCAGCCGTCAGATGATTGTTCCAGGTTCATGATTGTTCGACGCTCGGTCGCAAGGACACTCCGGGCGACACTCCGGGAGATGCTCGAGACACGGCCATCGTGATCGCGAACGAATCCCTAGGACACGCTGCTCGCGTGCGTGTCCACGGTGTCGCCGGAGAGCTGGCTCGTAAAGAGCGACTCTACGCGCTTAATTACCATATCGGGTAAACAGGTTTAAGGACAAAAGAATATCGGCTGGAAGACGTGCGCGCGCGCGACCTCGCCGAGAGATTTCCTCCTCTCTATCCACTGCGCTGTGCACGCGCGAAGGGGACGGCGGCAGGTAGTACCGGATTAGAAATCACACCAGCGGGGTGATCTAACGCGATAGCCACGCTTCCATGGGGAATGCATTTTTGCGCTTCCGTTGCCGGCCAGGCGCATCCCGAGCGCGGCGCATGTTCCGCGAGGAATGCGCGACGAGGAAAGGTTGCATAAACGTTACACTCAGACCGGTGCTCTCGAGCGCCGCTCGCCAGTGAGTCCGCGGATTTTCTCATGATTTTAGCTCTAAATAAGATCTCTGCGTGCCTTTATTTTTTTCTCTTTCCTGCGGAATGTCGGCAGGCAGTTGCGAAAGACGTAAAAGTACCGTTAAAAGATTATATATACAGGTGCATGACTTCATGAATAAACATGAAGACGTTTTATATCACAAGAAGTAAATTATATGAAAGGAAATCATAAGGAAGAATATACGTAGGAGAAAAAATCAGTTGAATTCACGTGATAATAATACAAGTAAACGTGTCTTGATTCTGAAAAGGAACAGAATGTCTGGTTCTTATGAGCTAAATTCGATCTTCAAGAAGTAGAAATACTATTTCTTTCAACCAAAACGCGTCTTGTTGTATTGTTGTCATGTTAATTCAATTGAATTTTTTCTCTTCTGTGTTTTAAGATAAAGAAATACTGAAAATGATCTATAAAAACTGATATTCCTCACTGCATTATGCAAATCTTTATAACAGTGATTTTACTTCTTACAATGAACATGCTTATGTAGACGTTCATAATTACAACGACGTGAAACGCGATCGACAATGGAAACTTTACAACTCTTTTAATTACATTTATGAAGGAAATACATTGCGTATTGACTTAATCATTAAATTTATATCGTACAATAACATAACTTTTTTGTTATATTAATGCGGTAACAAATTTATTAAAAGTTACATCAAAATTTTCATATTACGTTTTATATGTTTTCAGCAAATTATAATGTTTTATATGTTTTTACATTGTTTTCAGCAAATTTTAATCATTCTTTTCTCAACTGTACGTAAATTTGGCAGCAAATTTACTAGTTACAATTTGTAAAGATTACATATCTTATGTGTGGTTTATACGACACTCATATTTATCACATAGAATGACGAAATAGGAATACAAAATAAATACAAAAAAATGATCAAAATTTGCTCAAAACAATGTTTCACGTAAATACTACTCTATGATTTTCATAGTTATACTATGAAAATCGAAATATAACTTTTAGTAAATTTTTTACTATATCATTGCAATAAAAAATTTATATTTTTATGCAATGTAAATTTATAATTATTAAATTTAAAATTCAATATATTATATATACTAATATTATATTTTTAATGCTTAAAAAAAACAGTTTTTCCAGCTTTCTCGCGGCTTTTTCTGATTTCTTTCTCAAGAATAAGAAAAATTTGTTTAGAGAGAGAGAGAGAGAGAGAGAGAAATTTTAATGTGTTCGGCTAAAATTTGCTTATACACATATTTCCATAAAAAAAAAACAGTTTTTTTAAATTCATGTTGATAAGAAATAATATTTCTCATATATATTTTCTTGGGTTATATTATAATTATACTAATTATATGATGTGATAATCACACACTACGTCATTACATATAGAATTTTACCCTGTAAAAGTATTTATTAAAAAGTAGAGACTCTGTCTTTAAGATAACTCATTCTAATTCTTGCGTATATTTTTTCTCTATAGATTCTCCTTAAATTTTTTTCTTTTTATTTATGATAACGTAAAGTGTAAAATAGATCAAAAGCATATCATATATGAATAAATAAAAACAAGGTTAATATATGCCTTAAATAAAATATTTTCAAATAAAATTGATCGAGTACACCACTGAAAATATGGTGTAAAAGTGGAAATCTCAACAAAAATCAGATTTAACTTTCTGGATTACATTAATATGAGAACAACACTAAAAATCAGCCAGCATATATAGTAATTAAAGTAAAAAAATTTTTTTCTGAAAAATATTTTTTCTTAATTTTTTTCCGGCAATTTAAAGAAACTGATTTTTAAACTATAATATCAATATTAGTATTAATATTTAGTACATTATATTTATATTTGGAAGTATATTAATATTTGTGTCATATACATAAATGCAATTAAAAAATTGTAGAGTTTCCATCATCGATTTCTCATAAAATAATTTTTCATGATGATCATGAAAGTTTTTGTAGGTTAATACTTCCTTCGTATTTATATTTTGTCATTTTGTGTGATAAAAAAGTAAGTGTCACGTGATCCACTCATAAACGACGCATCCTTTACAAATCGATTAGTAAGGTAAAAGTACTAATTCCTGACACGTATCTAATCCTGGATATTTTATTATTTTAGTATTTAAACACGAATATTTATACTTTTAACATGGAATATATATACATACTCAATATTTGTATATATATATATCTATATTGAAAGTTTAAATATTTATATTTTAAGATTAAAATAAGAATATCCAGGATTAAGTGCATATCCGGGCATTGACACCTATCTACATGCGTAATTGATTATCAAAAAGAAAGTGTCCCCAAACAACCTCGGAAAGATCCTGTTTCCAAAAGACGCACGGTTTAGCGTTAATTATTCACTTGTCGCTGTGTTTGCTTCATTTCTTATCGATAATTAAATCAGATACGTTGGAGGACATCACGGAGGCGATCATGTCTCAACGCTCAAGCCGGAATAATCGATCTGTCGCTTGAGTTTCTTACTCCATGAATCATGGCGTTAAATGTCAGCCGGGTTGTCGATGATGGCAAAGCACAGTGCAGTATTCTCGAATATTCTCGACTTTTACTCTCGCGACTTCGGGGGACTTGGTTATCAACTAACTACGTGTATGTCCATTCGTTATCGTAGTTTCTTCTCTTTTTCCACATGTCTATTCATCATCATAGTATTCTTATTTTTTTCAAAACTATTAACTTTCTTCGAGCGCGCGCCTTTTCAATCAACCTCAATTCTCGCTTCGCGAAGACTCTTCAAAAGATATACCCCGGAGCGACGCACCTCCGCAGAGAAGAGCGACGTGTCTCGCGGCACGGAACACGCTCTTGCGGTCGTCGAAGTCTCCGAAGTGTCGGCTCCATTCTCGCGGAGAGACACTAATCGCCACTTTTGTCGCTAAGATCTGCAGCCAAGCGCATCGATTTCATTCTCTTAGCATAACGTCTCATCAGTCTTAGCGACTGCCTGAGTCCAGACATCGTTCTCGAGGTAAAGAAGATGCAACTTACATCATGATCGCGCCTCCCGACGACGGACGCTGACAGTGAGAGTAGCTCGCGGTCGCGGCGATATCACTTCACCGCTGATCGGCCAACAGCATCACCGTCCCCGCGATGAACGCACCACACAATACGGCGGACACACAGATGGACACGCACGCACTAAAGAGAGCTGGATCACCGCGCACTCGTCATAGCCATCGTCGTCGAGCCGGCGGATCGCCCGGATCGGCGATCTCGTTTTCGCGTATCTTCAAGTCAGAGAATTCGAACGCGACTTCTCCCAAGCGAGCGAGATATCCGCGCGCTCCCGGTTTTTTTGTCTCTTTCTCTTCCTTTTTTATCCTGGAGAGAGAAGGACAGAGAGCGATAGAGGGAAAGAGAGTGTGTGTGCAAGGGAGAGGGAGAGAAAGAGACAGGAAGGTGGAAAAGGTCGCAGCAGCCGAGATAACACACGCGGACTCACGTCGGCGATCGCGCAGTCGGTCGCACACTGGCTGCTCACGTCGGCTGCTCCCTGCGGACGACGGTGGAAAATCGTGACGTCCGAATGAAAGAGAGGGACCCTGAGGAGGAGAGTGCGCACCGCCCGCCGTGCCCTTCCCCAGAGTTCGCGGACTCCGACATAACGGAGATCGTGAGTTAACTCGTGCGAGGCAAGCTCTGCTCCTCTCCGCGCCGTCTCACCTGCGGGAGGTGTTTTGTCCAACGTTGGACATAGAATTCAGACAGACAGGTGTAGAGTAAAACATCAAATTATTGACACTTCCCTTAATCGTTGACATTCTAGAAAAACCTGCTTTTGAGAGAACTAGAGAATTTGATGTTAGGTTAGGTTTGATTGTGAAGCTCTCGTTTAGAACCACAGGAGGCAGGCAAGAAATTTAACTGTAATATTGATCACAAGAGAAACCAGATTTTTTTTAGAGTGTCAATGACTGCATTCAATGACACTGCTGTCAATGAGTTCAGCAGAGAAAGCTACTTTGCAACTGTTATAAAATTCGTGAATCTAATTGGTGTATGCTTAGATTCAGCTAGGTTAAAAGGTTAAAAGCATGCATGCATTGATCAGATTCGAATTCAACAACAATTGTAAAATAGCTTTTTTTGATAAAGTTATTTAATCATGATGTCGAAATTTGATTATCCCGATTTGATTATTTCACGATTATTTGAACATTCTGTGAACATTTCTTAACTATTCCGGTATATGTATATGATATGGAACTCTAGAACTATTGTAAAACAAACCGGAACTCTAAAGAAATAGTTAATTTAAATAGTTTTTTTGATTAGGTGCGCT